AAACGTCCTCCAGGTTCAGGTGTACTCTTAGCTCTGGAGGAACCGCGAGGGTGTGCGGTGCTGAGTTCCGCGTCAACGTAGAGGAGTTCCGAATGTTCTTCCAAAGGATTATTTTTCGTCTTCGCTCCGTTGTCACGTCGAAATTAGGCCATTTCACAATTTTGCAAATGTACAATTTTGTAATTTTATAATTTGTTGTACATTATTTTATTTATTTTTTTTTTTTCATGAACAACCTCCGCAAAGACCAAAACTTGCACTGCGGTGACAACAACGCACAAATTATGTTTAAAAGTGTGTAAGACCGTACGTCTATGTAAACATTTTCCCCATTAGCGCAGCTATGCATCTGCGAATTACAACTAACTTGGCCGTTTAGCCAAAACGTCTTCTCATTTGTCCATTCGTCCATTCGTTCATTCGTCTATTTAGAACGTGGAGTTAGATGATTCTCTAACTTGTGTACTTGTGTTTGTTTTCCCATTGTTGTATTTTTGTTTTTTTTTTTTTTATTCAAAGGGAGAGAAACAAATTAAAGAGACTCTCTTTTCAGAGGGTGACACACATGCCGTCTTTCGTAAAAGTGTGAAGAGTGTTTTTATTCTTTTAACATTTCGGGATAGGTACTACATCCACATTAGGTGTGTTTTTCCTCCCCTCGCCGATCTTCATTCGTCCCCCTTTTTGAAGAAGAAAAAAAAAAAAAATGAAGAAACTCCTAGGTGTTGTGCTTTATTTTTTTGTTCTACACAAACACATAGATGCAAAGAGTGGAAATTTGCGAAACAGTGATGCTACAAATGAATCAGTTGAAAAAGGAAAAAATGTTACTAATGGATGGATCCCTTATTATTATTTACTCCCAAAAGGGCAGACTACACCAATTGCTGTCTTAGCTGCAATGCCAGAGAAAACTACTTTTAGAAAGCCAGCCAACATGAAAAAGGATGTGACAGAGGGGGAGGAAGGTGAGGAAAATGTGAACAGTTTAATCCAATCGGGTGAAGCGAACGACGGAGATTTTCAATTTACACTTCAAATAGTAGAAGGCGCAGACCACTTGACAGACGCGCATCTGGAGGGAGGGTCCTCTGCAGCTGATGCTGTGAATGCGGAAGTGCCAACTGGTCAGGTGGTGGAAGATTTGCAGGGGGGGGCAGAAGCACTGCTGGAACAAGCTGCGGGACATACACCTGAACAAGAACCCGTGCGTGTGCCCGCTGTTGAGCAACCACAAGCCGCAGACAATCAAAATGGAGAAGCGGCAGAGGAAGCAGAATCTCTGCCCGTGCATGAAGCGGACAATGTGCCAGTTGAAGAGGGGCAACAAGGGACACCTGCGGTGCCTGAGCAGGCAGTAGAAGAGAGTGTGGCTACCCAGCCAGCAGATGCTAGTGTGCCTGAGCAGGCAGTAGATGAGAGTGTTGCTACCCAGCCAGCAGATGCTAGTGTGCCTGAGCCCAACACCAGCACGGGCAGCGAAGTCGACTCCGTGGAAGAGGCAAACGAACAAGAAAACCTTTATCATATAGAGGACGAAGGAGAAGGAGAAGAGGAAGAAATGGAAGATGAAGAATTCGAGGATGACTACCACAACGTAATGTACAAATTAAATGAAAGCGAAGGAGAGACAGACATTCCTTCGTATGATGACTCAAACTATTTGACCAGAGCGGATATAGTAGTCATGATTGCTGCTCGAAACATGTTAAATGCTTTAAACGATAATTACTCGATTATGGATTTCCTGACGACTTTTAATCCTAATGTGATGAATTCGTTCCACTTGTTTTGAAGAGGAGAAAGTTGTGTTGAAGTGCCTACATAGGTGGTTAAGGACAGGATGGAGATGGATATATATGCTTAGCATAGAGAGAGAGACAGCGACAGAGACAGAGACAGAGGACGCACAGGGGGGACAATGCCATATACTGCACACAGTATTATCCCACACTGGTCACACCTGTTAATTCACATTTGTAAATATACCTAATTAATTAATTTTTTTTTTTTTTTTTTTTTTTTTTTGTGCAATTTTCTTTTTTTCTTTTTCAAAATTATCGCTACTGCTATGTGTTATACAACGGCACACCCCAATTGGGTGTGATTGTGGTTGGAGAAACCAAATTGGGATGTTTTTCCCTGGCAAATCTCCCTTTTTTATATTCCTCAATAAAGGGAAAAAAAACAAATTCCCCCTTTTCTAATCATCTTTAATAAGAAAAACATTTCATATTTTTCATTTAAAAAAAAAAATTCAATTTTGTAAAATTAAAAATTACGCTACAATGTGCAATTGTCTGTATGCACAATTTTTTTGTCAAATTTGGGAAGAGCAAAAAGGTGAATGGAAGGGTAGCGTGAGGGATATCAGAATGGTACGTTCTTAAAGTCACCACTGCTCTTGTTTCATTGGGGACAAGCTGTTTCGCTTCCCTAATTTGTTTAGCGGATTCTTTTGTAACAACTGTTCACATTACGTAGTAAGGAAACGCATATAGAGTTCTCAGAAATGGTGTGTTTTGTTTGTTTTGCTGTTTGGAGGAGCTGCTTTTTATCCCCTGTTGTGTGTGTCTATCCGATGTTATGCGCTGAAGCGGGATCAGTGGCAGAGCCATGGTGTTTCTGCGGTCCCATTAGCAGTAGTAATATCCGTTCAGGCATATTTCAGGGTCGATGATTTCCTCAGAATGTGCCGAAGGTGTCAAGTACTAAACTGCGCAAACAAGGACACAGTTTGCCCCTCGTAAGTGGTTTAGCATGACACGTAATAGTTATAGTTGCAATTATGCACATATGAACGGTTATGCTTATATTTAGCATTATTGCTCTTCTTTTTTTTTTTTTCTGTATTCATGGTTAGCACAAATGTGCCAACACTCCTGTGTACCCTTTTAAGTGTACACCCTCGGACCCGCTTCACATTTTCATTCAGATGCACGCAAAAATACACATGACAGTTTGCACATGACAATTACTTATTGGGGATCTCTTCCGCACGTACTTGTACATGGCAAATGAGAGCGGAAAAAAAAAAAAAAAAAAGTGGCAGTCCTTTACGAAGCCATTCTTTTGTAGCCACCCATAAAGGAGCCAAGCGAATATATTTGGGTGAAGGATACAATTGTGTTTCCACAATGTAGTACATTTGTTCCCATTTTTATATTTGCCTCTTTTTTTTTTTTTTTTTTTTTTTTTTTT